GGAGGGAGGGGCCGGCCATGGGAGCCCAAGCCCAACCTCTATATATATATATTTTTTTTTTTTAAAAACCAAAGCCCAAAATGCTAAAATGTCATTTTTCTCAATTTTGACATTTTTCTTCAAATTAAAAACCCATGATGGCTAAATTCATTTAAATAAAAAGGTTTTATATTTAAAACATCAAAACTTTGTGTTTTATATAAATTGGGTATAAATTGGAGCATTTGGCACTGTATAGGACATTTCAGATAGTTACGGTTCGAAACCGGACTTTCTAAGCAACTGCCGGAATCTCTAGAAAATTTTCGATCAGACTAACCTAACTAACTCCTAATCTTATAAGTTACCTTCAATAACACTAATATAAACTTAATAAGAGCTAACCTGGAAGTTCAAATTTGACAGTTGTCACAGTCTCCCCTTGTTAGAGAAATTTCGTCCCGAAATTTAATGACTGCTACTGCCAATGGATGTTTTTTTTTTCTGCAAACAGTTGCGGATATTTGCCTTTCATGAAATCTTCTCGCTCCCAAGTGTACTCTGGACCATGTTTCGCATTCCAGCGGACCTTAATAATAGGGACTTTTCTGCTCCTCAACCGTTTAACTTCTCGGTCCAGTATCTCGATTGGTTCTTCAACAAGGTGTAACCGATCGCTAATCTGAACGTCGTCCAGGGGTAGCACTTATTGTTTCATCCGTTAGGAATTTCTTCAGATTCGACACATGGAACGTGTCATGGATGGCGCTTAGATTTTGTGGCAACTTCAACCTGTACGCCACTGGTCCGATTCTTTCAAGTATTTCGAATGGATCAATGTATCTGGGACCTAGCTTGCCTCTCTTCCTGAATCGTACTAGTCCTTTCCATGGTGATACCTTTAAGAGTACTTTATCCCCCACTTGGAATTCTAACGGCTTTCTCCGATTATCCGCATAACTCTTCTGATGGTCTCTTGCTGTCTTGAGTCTCTCCTTGATGATTGAAATCTTGTCGGTGGTTTCCTAAATAATATCGGGCGTTGTCAACTATCTATCTCTGATCTCTACCCAGCTAAGCGACGATCTGCATTTATGTTCGTATAGAGCTTCGTACGGTGCATATTGTATGCTGGTGTGATAGTTGTTGTTATAAGAGAATTCAACAAGGGGCAAATGGGTATTCCAACTCCCACCAAAATTTATTGCACACGCACGCAACATATCCTCAAGCGTTTGAATTGTTCTTTCCGATTGTCCATCTGTTTGAGGATGATAGATGGTGCTATAATCCAAGCGCGTACCCAATGCCTTTTGAAGAGACTGCCAAAATCGTGATGTAAAACGTGTATCTCTATCCGAAATAATGGAAATAGGCACACCATGACGTGTAACTATTTCATTGATGTAGATTTGTGCAAGCCTTTCTATACTGAAGTCTTCTCGAACAGGTAAAAAGTGCACGAATTTCGTAAGCCGATCCACTATGACCCAAATTGAGTCATGCCCTTTCCTAGTCCTAAGTAACTTAGTAACAAAGTCCATTGCTATCTGGTCCTACTTCCATTCGGGAATCTCTGGTTGTTGAAGGAGACCAGACGGTTTTTGATGCTCTGCTTTTACCCTTGCGCATGTTAAGCATCAACTTACGTACAAAGCAACGTCCTTCTTCATTCCTGGCCACCAGTAATATTCTTTTAGCTCCTGGTACATCTTATCAGTTCCTGGGTGGATTGAGTATCTTGAGCGATATGCTTCCTCCAAAATTGTTGACCGAAGTTTGTCGTCCTTTGGTATCCAAACTCTATCTCTAAAGTAACGTACTCCATCTGTTCGGGTTTCGAATTCCTTCTCTAAGTGATGTAGGGTCTCGTTCTTCAGATTTTCTATTTTCAACGCCTCTTCTTGAGCTTCACGAATTTGCGTTTTTAGATTTGTTTGAATTATTATCCCCATGGCTCGTACTCTTGACGGTTTTATTATTTCTTTTCGACTTAGGGCGTCTGCTACCACGTTAGCTTTCCCTGGATGGTATTTTATTTCACAGTCATAATCGTTGAGAAGTTCCACCCATCTCTGTTGCCTCATGTTCAGCATTTTCTGGTCAAGAATATGTTGAACGCTCTTGTGATTCGTGAAAATAGTGCGCTTAGTATCGTAGAGATAATGTCTCCAGATCTTGAGTGCGAACATCACCGCTCCTAACTCCAAATCATGAATAGTATAATTCTTCTCGTGAATCTTCAGTTGTCTTGATGCGTATGCGATAACTTTTTCCTTTTGCATCAGTACACATCCCATCCCTTGATGTGAAACATCACAATAGACTACAAAATTGTCTACTCCCTCTGGTAAGGCCAAGATCGGTGTGTTGCATAACTTTTGTTTGAGTGTCTGAAAGGCTTCCTCTTGTTTCTTTTCCCAAATGAACTTCTTATCCTTTTGGGTTAGAGTTGTTAGTGGTTGCATGATCTTAGAAAAAAATTCTCGATAAGTCGCCGGTAATAACCTGCCAATCCAAGAAATTGGCGGATCTCAGTTGGTGTCTTCGGGGCTTCCCATTTCTTAATGGCCTCAATCTTAGCTGGATCAACTTGGATTCCTTTTTCATTCACCACGTGGCCAAGAAAGTGCACCTCACGAATCCAAAATTCGCAATTGGAGAACTTGGCATATAATTTCTGATCCCTTAATAGTTCAAGATCAACTTTAAGTGATGCTCATGCTCTTCCTTGTTTTGCGAATAGATCAGGATGTCATCTATGATTACAATCACGAACTTATCCAAATATGGCCTACATACCCTATTCATTAAATCCATGAAAACTGCTGGCGTGTTTGTTAGACCAAAAGGCATAACTAGAAACTCGTAATGACCGTATCGAGTCCTAAACGCCGTCTTGGGAATATCCTCTTCTCGCACTCTCATTT